AAAATAAAAAGAAACAACAACAAAAAAGTTCTATAGGTGATTCGAAAGCTAGCCAGCTTTAGATCTCCCGATATAATATGTACTCAGTATTGTTTTTGCTCAGAATGATTGATTATTAAATAACTGTATTCATTTCTGTGAGGAGACTATAGCTAATAAGTGGAGGGCACATATTTACTTATGCCATGGTTGCATATTTACTTATTAACTCTGCCTCCCCTCACACATCCTTAGGTCCAAAGGTCTAATGTGACACTTGAGTTAATCCTTTCTCTGATCTGGTGGAAGTGACTCATTTGGTTCTCTGGGGTTTGTGAAGCTAGAGAAAGACAGTGGAAGGCCGTTCAAGGCAGCCGCTTAGCTCCCCCTTAGAAAGGTGTTGTTTAAAGTGATAGGGTCTTTGTCATTTACATTTGGAATGTGAACCGGAAACCCCTAGAAAGATGACAGCACACTTCCTTTCATGCTATGTTTTAATATGTTGAGACGAAGGAGAATGGAAAGTTGGGAGTAAAAACTTGGAGGCCCTAGTAGGACAACATCATCTTCTTTCACAGCTTACTATTATATGGTACAGAATTTACTAAAACACATTTAAAAGTCACATTGTATAATATTTTAAGAAACCATCTTTTTCTTTGAAGTTTTTTTTTTTTAGTTCTGTTAGTATAACATACTGACTTTTGCAGTTTAAATTAAGAAATGTCACTTTTGTTTCAGAATCAAGTCTCATAGTTAAATGAGAAAACTGAAATGGAGAGTAATGGGTTTGTATTGGGTAAGGCATGGGGCAGTGGGTGGTGGTCATCACGGTGACATGTTTCAGGAAAAGCCAGCGGGTCTGGGGAGTGAGTGGTAGATTGATGTGTGCTCATTTAGTTTTCGGGTCAGTGGTTCCTTAATTAATCAACCTAAGGGTTGCTGTGTTGGACGCTGCTTGTGGAAGTCTCTCAAAATTCTGATGTGTATTAAGAGGAAGATAAAGCTGAACCAGCAGGTGTCAGCAGGAAACATCAAACCATCAGTCTTGGCAGTATCATCATTTGATTTTATTTCAGTGCTGCTTCAGCCCAGAGCAGCCTTACAATGGTGTTGGTGTTGTCTGGACGCCTAGCTGGTATTTAATGTAGAAGCCTTCCTCAGTAGGCACCATAGTGGGAAATGAGCGAATGCTTTTGGACAGTCTTCCTGAAGGACAGCAGTCACTGCAAAGTTCTGGTTCAAAGGAGAGATGTTTGCCAAGCATAGGAAGGCCTTCCGCGTTTCACTGTACTGAAACAAAACACATATAAATGAGTCCATATCCGAAGACCTTATGTTTAACTGTTTAAATATTTTCCTGGTTAGCTGTGTACTACAGTTTCAAGTATTTATTTGTTACTGATTAGTGAATAGCCACATGCAGTTTGTCAGACTGTAAGAATTCATAACCTAGAATTGAGCGTAATTTTACAATAGAATATATTATTTATATCTTACAAATAGTCACTTTATTTTGCCATTCTAGCTAAATAAATAGCCATTCTAATTATTATATAGTCTGAGAAAGGTTAGTGTCTACTTTTCTATAAAATTGAAAGTCTTAGAACTCATATCCTTTATTTTCTTCTTCATCTGATGAATTGACCAGAATACATTTTAGAGACAGATATATTACTCAATCTTTTGGTATGACCTTGAAGAATTAAAAGAATGAGTGAGTAGAATATTGCTTGAGGCCACAGAAGGTATGTGATAAGGCAGGGCAGGTACAAGCATTTTTATTTTTTGTTTTATTCCATATAATAAAGTTGTTAATTTTCTATGTATCATTCAGAAATCTAGTACTAGTCTCATGCCTGGCTATTTACCCAAGTGGATTGAAATTGTCCTAAATAGGAATGTTTGTAATAACTTTATTCATGGTTCTCCAAAACTGGAAACACTGCAGATGCCCCTCATTTAAGGATTAGGTAAACACTGGTATGCCCATCCATGCAATGGTGGTGTATTCAGCAATTAGAATGAATAACCTATTTGCAGCGGGGAGATGGACCTCAGCTGCATCACGCTAAGTGGAGGGACTGTTTTAAAGAGGCTGTGTTTATGTAAATACAGATGGGCAGTATCCAGGGACCAGGGAGGAGTTGAGTGTGGAGGGAAATGGGATGAGAATGACTCTTTGGTACTTCGGATCTGATGTTGATGTTGCTATTTGTCAGACGTGTAAAAAGTATAACATTAAAAATGAAATAAATATGCTGATTTTTACCTTTTGTTTTTTTTTTTTTTTTTTTTTTTTTTTTTTTAAAAAAGGGTTTTTTTGTTACATTTTTGCTCTTTCCTGGGACTCACTTGGTAGTCCAGGCTGGCCTCGAACTCACAGAGATCCGCCTGGCTCTGCCTCCCGAGTGCTGGGATTAAAGGCGTGCGCCACCACCGCCCGGCTACCTTTTGTTTTTGCGCACATTTTTGTTTTAATTTTAATTAGGAAAGGTAGAATACTACTTCATTTACCTTCTTCTGTTTATAAATTGTCTGTGTACTTTAATTTTAGGTTATAGTTCTAATTCTGTAATCATTATGTCCTATTGTTTTGATGTAGATAACATTTAATTAAAATCTCTCCATCACGTGCTTTTGCTGGCTTGTTTTTGTCAACTTGACACAAAGCAGAGTCACCGGGGAAGAAGGACCATCAGTTGAAAAACTGCCTCATCAGCTTGGCCTGTGGGCATGTCTGTAGGGCTTTTTCCTTTGCTAATTGTTGTACTAGGGCCCAGCCCATCTTTGGGCAGTGCCATCCCTGGGCAGGTGGACCTGGGCTGTATTAGGAATACAGTTGAGCAAGCAAAGAGCAAGCCAATAAGTAGTAGGGATCCTCTATGGTGTCTGCTTCTGTTCCTGCCCTGGCTTCCTTTAATGGACCGTAAAATGTAAACTGAAATAAAGCCTTTCGTCCCCAAGTTGCTTTTGGTCAGTGTTCACCACAGCAACAGTAAGCCAACTAGAACATGCAGTATTTAGCTTCCTGGCTTTGCTTTCCATTTGAGGACGTGTTTGTTTTGCGTATTCTACCTCTTGGTTTTGTTCATGGGTTCTTAATTGCGGAAGTATGTGCTTATGCTTTATCACGGGTTGGATATTAGGGGTGGGAAGTCATTTCTAGAAATACGATGGAGCCATGGATGTTCCTCCTCCAGCGAAGGTTCTCATCTGTCTCTGCCAGGTGTCTGAGGGCAGCGGTTCCTGGAGACCCCTCAGTCTAGATCTGAAGTGATTGAATGCTAAGAATGCTATTAGAGTTCAGGCTTTCCAGGTCTCCGTCCCAGCGCCGGGGCACTCACTCACCATAGCCTTCTGTTCCCAAAGCAGAGCCATGCCTCCTCCTAGTGCGTCAGCTGTCTCTGGACTGTCAACACCGCACTCAATGGAAAACATGCCTGGGTGCTGGGCTTGCTTTTCTTGGTTCCCTGTCCTCCCCCAGAGCCTTGGGCTCTGATGTGCTTCTATGCCATGTTGCAGTCATATTCACAAGCAGTCCGACTAATGGTCCTCAGAGCTTGAATCTGATCATTTTTGTCATGGAGATAGGATGTTCCTGTTACTCATGCACACATATGAGACAATGTTACAGTTATTTTATATATGAGTGCAAGCGGTAGTTTTGTTTAATACGGTTACATGTTATGGTACCTTTAGGTCTATTTAATATATTCACATAAGATACATTAACAAATACTAATTTGTAACATTTAGCCCTGTGCCAGGCACTATGGGTAAAGCAGTTATGTAAAACACACTATCCTAACCTTATTTGGCCTTTATTTTGGCAAGGTAAGATAGGTTATTTCCTGCTCCTCTTTGGCTTATTTTTGGCAGTGTAAATAGTATAAGCTGTCCAATTAAGGGATTGACTGAAGTTTGATGTAAATAGTATCCTTCAAGTCTATATATGATGAAATTTTTCCTCTTGGGTCTTGATTTATCACTGCACATTATACTGGTCCCATTTTAAAGTCACTTAAGCTGTAAATAAACATTTTCAGTCCAGTTTTTCATTTTCTCTATTGAATTTTAAAGTTATTTATTTAAAAATTGTGTGTGTGTGTGTGTGTGTGTGTGTGTGTGTGTGTATGTGCGGTATGGAGGTCAGAGGACAATTTTTGGAGCTTGGTTCTCTTCTACCACGTAGGTCCTGGGGATCTAGCTCACTCAGGCTGTCAGGCTTGGCTGAAAGAGCTGTTTCCGCTAAGCCATCTTGTGAGACCGCCCCCCCCACTTCCGTTTTTAGCCTACCTTCATGTTATTCCTACCAGTTTTTCTTTATTATAAACACTTTTGTAATATTCATTTGAAATTCAGTTGATCTAATTTTTAGAGCAGAATTGAGGGATTAAGAGTACTCAGTAGTACACCAAATTTTAAAAATACATATATTTCTTTTTGAAAGGTGGTACACGGATGTATATATATTTCCTGTGATTTTTGTAACATGCCAATTCACATCAACGTATCAGTATTTTCATCATTACTTAAATTTGTATTTTCTATTAGAGATAGTGTATTTTATTTGTTCTCTCTCTCTCTCTCTGTGTATATATATATATGTGTGTGTGTGTATATATCTATATCTATCTCTCTCTCTCTCTCTCTATATATATATATATATATATATATATATATATATATATATATATATATTTGTGTCAGTTAGGTTGAAAGCAAATTAGAATGGCATATTGTTTTATGAAAAAAAATTACGGGTTTAGAGTTTGACAAGAGTCACGTGTTCTGAAATCCATGGCTTTTCTGTGCTGTGATACTATCTTCCACTTGGATGAACACGTGTAACTCAGTCCTCTGTTGAGGTGTACAACCAAAGACTTCTGCAATGAATAGCAGAAGGTACCAGAGTCAGTACTGTAGAACAATGGTTGTTCTCACCGTAAAGCAGAATCGGAATGACCGTCCAATCACAGACTTCCTGCCCAGCAGTTACTCTCACAGATCCTGCAGTTTTCAACCTTGGTCTTTGGGGCTGTTCTAAGTAGACATTCTGGGTTGTGGTGTGTGTGCACATATGCCTCCTTTTCAAGCCTCTTCCTTTGTTGAGTGCTCCATAGCACCCAGACTTGTGGAAATAGCATTTTCTTAGGAAGTGAATTTTGCATGAGCTGCAAAGTGGAAGAGAAATAGCAAGGTCGTTGAAATAGTCATGATCCCAGAACTTTAAACACACACATTTCTTAATAGGAACGGTTCCTATTGAAATGGTTGGTGCTTCTAGCTAAAGGAAATGCCCACTGAAGGAGAGGAATCCAGCTCCCTGCTGACCCTCATTTGTTCCACACCAGCCAATGACTTTTAAATCCCATTATTACTTCGATGGTGGTCTGTTGTCAAGAATGGCCTTTGCCTCTCTGCTGTTTATATGTTCTTATGGATCCCAGCTCTTGTTTCACTAACTGGGCCACCATGTGCTACTCAGACGTCTAAATGTGGTCAGAAGGATCTGTCCACTTCCCTTGGAGCCGACGAACATATTTTTTTGACATGTCCCCATTGTTCTTTGAGCACAACTTGGTTGTTTGGTACAGCAAGTTTCAGGCTCAGCTTGTACTTTCCCAGCCCTAGCTCTGGAGCCTCCCATTTTTTTCCCACAGAGCACCAATTCCTTTAAAGGGAGAATGGCTTCGCAAGCCAAGTTTGTTGATAAATTACCATTCTTAACTGTAAATCTTGAGACTGGGGTGGACTAGAAACATCCATCATTCTCTTCAAACACCCAATAATCATCCTAGTACCTCTTCAAGACTTACCTATTATAACACAGAGATGTATGAATGGAGTATTGACTCCGAGTACTCACTCTCTTTGCCTTGGCTGATATGGATGCGTCACTTGCTTCATTATGGGAAATACTGGATGACTCAGTCA